CCGCGGCAACCGCCGGCACCGCCGCCGCCCCCTCCTCCTTGGCGGGGGGCTCCATGTAGATCGGTGTCACTGACGAGGGCTTCTTGGACCTGCCGGTGAGGAGGCTGGGTGGGAGAGGGCAGGGGTGGTGGTGCCCCTCAGGACCCCAACTCCCAACAGCACTGCTTGGCTCTCCTGGCATGATCTCCTTTCCACTCCGGCCCTGGGCAGGTATCCTGTCCCCACCTCCCACCAGAAAGATTACCAAGGGAGGTGGTATGTCCCAGGATTGGGCTGGGACAGCAGTGGTTGATGCAGTGTGCCAGGCAGGGGACGGTGCCACAATGCGGGGATTACCCAGATTGCTGTGTCCCTGATACTCACGAGTAGGGGGAGGCAGGGACCCCCACCACAAGGAAGTGGTTCTTCTTGCGGAAGAGCCGCCACAGCCCCTTGTGATTCCCACGGACGTCCAGGTCCCAGATGTGGAGGCACTAGGATGGTGAGGAAGGAGGAAGAGGCATCAGAGCCTGGGGACAGACACCAGGACCAGGTGTTCCCTGGCAAGGGAAGAGCCACCACCCCTACCCTTACCGAGATACAGCAGAAAGGGCTGTACCCCTTGACTGCCCCCTAGTCCAGCCAGCATCAGTGAGAGGAGAGGGGGAACCCACTCCCATCCCTGCCTCAGCTCAGAGGGTTTGATCATCACCTCCAGGTAAGTGACGAAAACTACCATGCAAGCTTAAACACTGGGCTCCCACACAGGGAGGTCCTAAGACCCATCTTCTCCACCAAGCCAAGCATCTGCCCTGGATGACTCAAGTGCCTTCTGTAAACATTAAGAGCTTTAACATCACCCAAGGACAGCAAGAATCTATTTGCTGAGCTCTGTGTACGTGCCACAGACAAACCCAAGAGCAACAGCCAGAGATGCTTCCCAGCGACACCAAGATCAGTGCTGCCGTGAGAACAGGTCATGTCAGGGGCCTCACCTTGGCAAGCTGAGTCCAGGTAGTAAAATCTGCTTCCTGCTCCATCCTGATGAACATGACGTAGACTTTGCCCTCAGTGTCGGGCACAAAGGAGTCCTCACAGGGGTTCTTGCTGTGGTCTAAGACCTCAGCCTCGCTGTGGAAACAGAACAGCGAGTGAGAGTGGACCCCACCTCCTCCCTATTCCCACTGCAGAGTATTTCAGACAGGCAAGCAGTGGCTGAGTAGCTGAGGCCACCAGGGCCAACTCCCCTCTTTCTTCTGTCCCGGTGGGTTCAGCCAGTGTGCCCCGTGGTCTCCCAGCCTTCCTGAAGGCACTCACCCCAGGAGACGATGAATTTCGGTCTCATAGGCATCCTTCCTCAAGCTGTTGGGAGGAGGAGAGAACACAGAGATCAGGACAGAGCCACACAGTTTGTTAAGCAAAAAACATCCCCAGATGATCCAAATTCCAAGACTCCCCCAGTGTAGCACTAAAAAGCAGGCTGGAGGCAATGGAGAGCAGGGACTGCCATGCATCCTGCAGGATGTTGCAGCAAAAATGTGACCCTTCAAAACGTTCACTGGCAGAACAGGGTAGCTGAACGCAACCTCATAAAAACCACTGCAAGGATTTGCCAGTGGAGGCCAGAGTGCTGGGGCTGGATTCTGTTCCAGCAGGAAGGGGGATGTCTCCAGCACAAGAGGACAAGAGTTAGGCCAAGCATCTACTTAATCCAGCTCTCACTCTGGCCAGCACTCACCTCTCCACATTTTTAAGCTGGACATTTGGAACTGTGTTGAACTTGTGCTTCTTAAAATAAGCTTCCTGGAAGGAAGAGGGAGGGGAGGGAGGGAAAACAGCGTTCGGTCAGGAGCCAGCAGTACTTGGAGGTCACCTCAAGCATTCCCGCTACCTGGAAATGTGGCCAGGTCAGAGCTGAGCACCAGGATGAGGCTTGGGGGCTGAGGGAATTCACTCACATGAAAGTAGCCGTTCATGTTGAGCCCCACGATGCCGAAGTGGTAGGAGCGCGAGACGTCGGGGATGATGCACTCCCGGCCCTTCCGCTGCTCGGGCATCCGCATCCACATGTCCCAGTCCCACAGCTGGGGAGGGGAAGCTGCCGCTTACACTCAAGTTTGGGGATGTGATTTGGTAGCAGGGCCATCTTGGGCCCTTTCTGGCTGCCCACACCAGTTCTGGCCCCTTTGGCCCCAGCCTGCCTGGACTGTTCCAACAACTCTCTCACTGGTTACATGGTCCCTGAGTTATGGTCTGGCCCAAATCTGTTATGCTTGGGTATGCTTCCCAGCAGAAGCTCAGGAAGAGACAGGGCCGCTCCAAGAGCTGTACCCACAAGGACAGGGTGATGATCAGGGACTGCTGATCAGCAGAGATAGGGGTGCAGAAGACAAGGTCCCTCTAGGGTACTCACCTTCTCAGGGGTTGGCCATTTTGGCTCCAGCTCGTCCTTATAGAGGGTCTTCCGGAGCACCCAGCCGAGGCCTGGCATGGTCTCCACACGGTACAGGAGCGAAGGGTCCTCAGCCGTGTGCTCATAGCCCTGCAATGTTACAGGGAGCATTCAGCACGCTGAACGCCCCCCTGCTCCACCCAAAAAGGAGACACCTAGCTCCACTGAGGATCTCAGCATGAGGAGCGGCGTACAGCCACGGGGAAGCACACGGCAAGGACAGGGCAGTGATTTGCAGGGGCGTTTCTGAACAGGCGAGAGCTGAGGTAACAACCCCGCTTAGGATGATAGTGGGGGGGACGCCCTGCTTTACAGGCAGAACTTGGGACCCGAGCCTGACATAGGAACAACACAGGGCAGAGGTGTTCCTGTTCCACCATCCTTCCTTGACCCACCTGGTCGTTCCAAGCCGAGATGCAGTAAAGGCTCTCATCCTCCTCCAGAAGGTGTATCGACTGGCTCAGAAAGCTGAGGAAAGAGTTGCCCAGTCCCTGGTCAAACATCCTTCCTTTACACAAACCAAGGCAAATTCTCCACCAAGGGACAAGTCACCCCTAGCTTCTGGGATTGTTTAACCCATCTCTTGGGCCGAGATAGCTGATGCTGGTATAAGATCAGAGGAAGATCACACAAACAAGCTAAGCTGCATCTCATCATGGGGAGGGGACAACAGTCTCCTGCTCCATCACAGTCCCTCCTTAAAAAGGAGAAGGAACCCCATTAGACACTGTCCTTGTTCTCTTGTTATGGGGCAGCCTCAACTGTGTGCGTATAGAATAATGTCCTCAAAAAGCAAACCAGGAAGAGATCCCAGACCCTGACATCAGCCTACACTGAGTGCCACAATAGTGGACTCAAGACTCTCTGCAAGCAGAGCTCAGTTATGGCTGTTGCCTGGAGACTGCTTATCCTCAGATAGGTGAGCTACAGCACAGCAGGGATCTGGCCTCTCCTGAGCAGCCACAAAGCTTCTAGGAAATGCCCCACCCAAACAGGGACCCACAGCTTTACCTGAAGAAGTCAACAGAAATGTCAAGGTCTTCCTCCAGAACTACAGCAAATTTAGCATCCTGTAAGGCAAGGAGAAAGTCAGAAGGGTGGTGAGGAACAGGACAGAGCAGAGACACTGAGCAGTGTTCCCTGCCGCAGAAGATCGATTCCAGCTCCTGTGAGCTGGGGGCTCAGAGATACCCCTCTCCCAGGGAACCCTGCGCTGTCTTGTCCCCAGGGGCGAGCAGCTGGACAGGGCGCAGGCAGAGGCCTCACTCACCGGGAACAGGTTGAAGGTTGCAGTCAGACTGGCTTTGTAGTGCTACAAGACAAGACAAGACAGATTGTTGCCTGTGTTAGCACCGAGCTGGCACAGATACGACACCAAGCCTGCCTCCTTCAAATGTTATCCCTGGTCCCAGAAAATAACTCTCCACAGATTTGGGAAAATTCTCTCACCTGGGAAACTCTGGCATTTTTAATGCTGATGGGAGTGTGCTGGATTCCAGAGAGGCCAAACAGCTCCACAACATCCATTGGCTCCTGCAATGGAAAGGTACAAAGCCCAAACGTGTGGGTCTAGATATATTCTCCCCATCTTCTGCCAGTGTCTGCAACCTGAGACAACAAGAACGTGCTAACGGAATCCCCTGTGTGTGGCTGTCCTCCTAGGGGCAAGTGAGGCTCAAAATAATGCAATGCTGAACACCCTGAAGCAAGGAACTTGCCAAACCCTCTTGGCCCTTCATCCCTTATGTACCACCAGAAGTTTCTGTTAGCCCTGCTACTTTACAGGCCTAAGGTTGCATCCAAGAATATCTGAGAGTCCCCGCATTCCTAGACCCCACTGACAGTGCAGAAAGAAAACAGGTATAGCCAGGAACAGCCACTAGCTGCTTAATGCCACAACCACAATCAACTTCATTTTCTCTCATAGTTGCCAAGAGAGGAACCTCTCTGACCAAGCACATCTACACTAGGTCAGAAACATGCAGATTTGGGCTGACATCTCTGCCCCAAGGTGGCTCCACACCAAAGCCCTCTCCATCCCCTTACTGTCCATCTTGCCTCACAGCCACAAAAGAGAAGAAGCTCCCATTGAACCAACCATACCCCTCTCCCTGGTATCCACCATGGCAGCACAAGGATCCAGAGCATCTAGGCTGCCCCCTCATAGATGAGGGATGCTGCTCCAGTTGCCATGGCAATGGATGCTGCTATCTTTAACCACTCTGATGCGCTGCAGAGTAGAGCCTGTATAAATAAACCAGCTCCCCCAGCCCCACAACCTGGCAGTGGTGGGAGAGGCCTGCAAGGGAACAAGGTTGTTCCCTTCCACATCTTCATCACAAGGCAACCAGACGTGGGCTGCTGCAGAGACAAGGGCTATCAAGCCCCTGAGACCTACCAAGATCCCACATTCATGTCCCAGAGCACACACCACTGCCAGAGATCCAGTGCTTGCAGTGGGATCCTCTGTGGTTTTATAAGATGGAGCTGATGGGAAGGTCTTTGCTTTCTAAAGGGCCAGTTCTCTTCTACCTGGCTTCAGCTTTCAAAAGTCGTGTGAAAATAGATCATTTTGTGTCTCTTCACCTCTTACAGAGAGTGGACTGGATAGGCATGGCTGGACCGGTTCGTTCCACTTCATGGGAGAGAGCTGCAACACCCAGACCCTGCTCAAAGGGCTGGTGATGCTCACTGAGAAGAGGCGATGGGGAGCCCAGCATGACCACCTCACTCCTGCACACCAGCCCCTTTCTGACATGGGGACGTCAAGCCTGGGCTTTGGGAAAGGCCAAAGCAGCTTTAACCACACCCACAGCTTGGCTACACTGACTGACTTTGCGCAGGACCAGGTGAGGAGCAGTGTGACCCACAGCAGGAGGAAGGGTGAAGGGACTCAGCCTGCCACCCACCAAGGACTAGGCCAGCACCACATACTCTTGGCTTGGGGACTAAGGACCTGGCTACGGGGACCTCCTGGAGTGTTCTCACCTCGTAGTACCCATCGATGAAGACTGTGATCATCTGTGGATTGACGCCCTGAGCCGACAGCAAGGAGCGCAGCATCCTGGGGAGAGATGGAGGGGCCTCAGCACACAGCCCCAGCGGGCCCAAGCCGGACCCCTTGGCGTGGGGGAAAGGGTACATGGGAAGGGAACAGGACCTACTGCCCTTAGGCTCTTCCCTTCCCTATGGCCATGGACCCTGGACGCTGTCCAAGCAGGTGTGCCCACATCGCTCACGCAACCCCAGGAGGAGGTTGGATTCTGCCAGCTGGAGGAAGGGGAGAGCCTGGGCTGTGCCTGGCCTCGTAGTGCAGAGAAGCCATGTCCCCAGGAGTGCTCACCTGTACAGGTAGTTGGGGCGGTTCCCTGCAATAACAGCTACAGGCACATCAAAGACTTTATTGTCCTTTAGCTGGAAAAGAAAAATGTTGGTGAGTGGGGCTAGGGAAGGCCAACCTAAATGGTTCTACACCACTGAGAGCAGGAGCTATGGGGTAGGGATCAGCCTTACTGTTAAACCACAGAGCTGCACGGTCCTAGCCCTTGGCTCAGGGCCACACCAAACAACTAGGTCTCCACTCAGCACTGCTGGAGATCCTACAGGCTTTCCCCCTTCATCTCATCTCAGAGCTAAGTCCCAAATCCCAACTTGCATATATCCAGAGACTTCTGTCCAAACCCTTCAACAGTGTGCCAAGGACAGCCCACAGGCCATGATAGCTGCTCCATCTCCAAATGTACAGGCCCTGCTGCTTACACTGATGTCCCTAGAGCCACAGTAACCTGGCAGCTCAGGGCAGACACAGGGCAAAGGAACCCCCTCTTCCCCAGCTCGACCTGACCACGTGTTCATCTCACCCTTGCTGGGGTTAAAAGCTTGCCCAGGGGCAGCCTCTAGCCCTCAGCTGGAGCTTAAGGGCACAGCTCTGCACCCGAGCTGCAAAAACATCTGGTCCAGCCCAGCCCTCTCTCCTGGAGCCTTCCCCAAAGACTGTGCCCCTGCACTCACGGGATCAGGGTTGAACTCAATTGGTGTGGGGTCTTTGCAACTGCAGACACTGCCATAACCTTCCACTTTGCTGCAGAACCTCTTCCGCCGGCGTTTCAGCTCCGTGTCAGGCCAATGGCACTCAGCATCTGGAGGCACCAAGGAGAAAAACCACACTGCTTGTCCCCATGGTCTCACCCTGTGTGCTCCGGGCTGCAATGCCACATGCACAGCTCTCCCTGGGCTCAGCCATCACTAAGCCAGCCCTTACTACTATGAACAAGCAACACTTCTTGGAGCCAGATGTAACCACAGGAGCCATTCAGAAGCTATCTCCACCATGTGGCCTCTCTGAGCACTAACAGGACATGTTCAAGGCCAAGAGTCAGAAAAGACTGTCACCTGCAGAGGTGACAGAATGCCAGACTATATCCCACTTCCCCACCCTCACCGTTCCCAATAACCATGCCTGGAATTGCCACGGAAGCGGGAAGAAGGGAAGCTGGCCATGTTTTAAATTTATCATCCCCATCTTAAACAGTCTTAAATCCACCCTGGAATCCTGCTCACAGACCCACAGCTTTCACTCAAAATCACCAAGACCAGCAGGCAGACATGTCCCAGACACCTGACACCACAGAGTGGATCTTACTTCCTACCTTCCACGGATGTCAGATGAACTTCTGTCTTCAGCAGTACCGGGTCGCCCCACGTTGAGAGGGCAGGTGACTTGGCGTGCTTCTCCCCGTACACCTCCCCTGGAGCAGAGAAACAGAGTCAGGACTGTCTGGAAAGGCCCATCTCTGCTGTATCAAGGCATGACCAGGGCCTGTAGCTCAGGGTGGCAGCCTGGCACCTGTTCCCATTGGCCTCTGGTGAGCTGCTGAAGGGCCATGCTCTGCCTCCATCTCCTCTCTCAGCCCCAGGACTGGAGCTGCCACTCTCTGTGACTTGTTCCCTGCTCATACAGCATGTTGGGGATGGGCCAGGTTTGTCTTCACCTGACTTCTCCCAAAAAAAGGAACCCTCTCACAGCTGGTGCAGGACTCACCTCCTTTCTTCCCCACAAATGTCCACATGTCTCTCCAGCTCAGGAATGGTGCAACTTGGCTCCCTAGGCTTTTCAGGACATTTTTGGCTGTGTCCTTGAGGTGAAAAGAGCCTTCATCCTGGAAAAGTAAATGCAACCCTGCAGTCGAGGTCTGGCTCCTGGTGCAGACAAGGAAAGCCTTCCATCAATACCAAAGAAGTACAAGGTCCACCCCTATCCTTGAACCAGTTGAGCCAGAAGCCTTCAAGAGCACGTTCCTAAGGTCTTTATGTCACTAAACCTGTCAGTGGCTTCATCATGATTCACAGGGAGGTCAGAGGAGTCAGACTCCTGCTTCATAGAATCATAGTGGTTGGAAGGGACCTTGAAAGATCATCTAGTCCAACCCCCCTGCCAGAGCAGGGTCACCTAGAGTACATCACACAGGAAGGCATCCATGCGGGTTTTGAATGACTCCAAGATCAGACTGTTCTCAAGCAGGGCCGTGTGTTCAGCAACACTTCACACAGCTAAACCTGGAAGTCTGAAGAAGCCCGGCACGGCTCGCACAGCAGCCCAGAGTCAACAGAGTCCACAATGCCCCTGGTAAAGCCTGGACCTGGGACCCAGAAGAGTCCCACCAAATCCTTTTATTTCTTCATATCCATTCCCCCCCTAATCTCGTTTACTGCTGCAGGCTCTGACACACCTGCTTTTGGCTCTCCTGCTTTACTGCATACACACTGTACCTGTAGTAACAAGAGTGTGAGAGGACAAGGAAGGTGATCCAGACAGGGAGGCACAGCCCAGCGGGGATGCAACATTTAGCCCTGGGAAAGCTTGATGACATTCAGGAGGCAACTGTCTAGAGGAGCTTTAGGGCATCCTGACTCAAGGTGACTTTTTCTTTTGGTCACGTACCTTAATGGTGAAGATCAGGATTCGGCCTCGGGCAACCATGTTGAGGAAAAGTACCATGGCTTCATCTTCATGGGGAGAATAGGTGTCAAAGACCCTCTTGGCCATCACATGACCCTGTTGGTATTAAAATGCCAGATGCATCTTAAATGTATATGGCCAGGACACACAGAATTAGGGACATCTGTCCTGGAAGCCTCAGTCCCTGAGCAACATGAGTCACTGTGCTGGTTTGCCGGGGAGTTAGCTCCCAGGCAAGCTCAGCCCTTGGGCCTTCACACACAACATGAGGTGCTCTGATGTCCACGGGACAGCACTACCCAACCTTGCAACACCTCTCCTGCCTGCTCCCCAAAGGGCAGCGAGGCAAGCACAAGAGAACTCCTGGAGGGACTCTCGGGGTGACCATGTGGTGCTCTGGAAGCTACAAACAAGCAGTTGAGGACTTCCCTCCTGGCTACCCTTTGCATCATGCACCCAGCAGTTACAGAGCAAGGCCCAACGCTGCCCAGCAAGAAAGACAAAAGCAGACACGTGGCGATGCTTTACCGTAGCCTGATTTAAGACGATGACATGGATCCCTCTTCCCTGCTCCCGAGCCTCATCTTCCAGGACCTGCAAGTGGAGAAGTGATGAGAATCATACACCAAGGCCTCTCACGCCCAGCCCATTAGGCACAGAATAGCCCCCAAACAACAGGCAAGTCTCTTTCTTGTGACATTTTGGCTCTGCTCACGGCAACGATGGATGCCAGAGCAGAAGACAATGCAGGACAACGCCTGCACAGTCCTGTATGCAGGAGTGGAATCCACTCCTGGCCTTCTTGCAAGCCACCAAAGTGCTCTCACCACCCGCTGCCTGAGTCTTCACCCATTCAGCTCCACCCACCCTCTGCTCACAGAGACAGACAGCAACCATCACTTACTGTTGTCCCATCCACAGCCACGTAGACCTTTGACCGACTGGAGTACACCTCAACATCCAAGACCTTCTTGTTGCTGACAGGATGCCTAGGGACTTCCACATTCAGCATCTCATCATCTACAGGGGAGAAATACCAAGTTTCAGCCAGCCAAGGCATCCCTGCCTTGTTCTTGCTCAGTGCCAGCTCAGCCAAGCCTCCAGAAGGTCATGTCCACCAAGTATCCTAGCCCACCAAGCCATGGGTCAGAATCTACAGGGAGGGCAAGTAAGGGAAATCCAAAAGGGCAACAGGTCTAATCCCAGCTATCCCTGAACGGACTTCTGTAGCCAAAAGTCCTGAAGCTGTGAGCAGACAGACTAGGAACAGCCTCTTCTGTTCATTTTTGTTAAACCCACATGCACAGACATGTCTTCCATGCTGTAGCTGGCCACAAGTTTGCCCTGACTTAAAGAAATTCATTCCCTCCCACCAGTTTCCTTGCTTTCAAAGCAAAGCAAGATGCTGCCCCTCACCATAGTCCTGTGCAGACTCCTCCTCCTCTGCATAAGCGGCTCTCCTGGTGTCCAAGATCAGCTTGATGTTCACAATTACAGTCACAAGCAGGAAAAGGACAGCACCTGTCTGCAACGCAGGATGCTTTGCATTAGCAACATGTAAGTAACAACCCCAAAATCAGCCCACCTCCTTGGCACATACTGCAGGGTACCCCAAGATGATTTTGCAAGGAATCATAAGCATCTGTCATTTTCCCCATTCTCTTCCGGGGAAAGGCATAGAGAAAGAAATACAGGTGAATGAGTTTTAGGGTGAAATGCTTCCATCAGCTGGAGAGCACTTACTTCTTGATATGTGAGTATTAACCCACTCCCAACATATCCCTGCTTCTAAATCAGTGAGCAGATTCCAGGTAAAATATTACACCAAGGTCGAGGGTTTCTGCAGGTAACTGAGTTTGGCAATTCAGAGTTACAGCTCCCACAGTAACCTTAACTTCTACCTCTCCTGCAGCAGCACTGCTCTCCTCTCTCCCTCTGCAACCAGAGGACATATTCAGAGCATTCAGAGTGAGAGGAGATGCTGTGAGACTAAAACAAGGCAAAGGGAAGAAAGTGAGGTCAGACTTCAGGAAACCGTGCTGTGCCACAGGCTGCAGAGAACAGCCTGCAGCAGCCTCACTGTCTGCAGCAAACCAAGGCACTCTGTGTGGATGCAACACAGAGGGCTCTGGGAAGGTCCAGGAGCTGTGGAGGACTCCATGAGAACTCCTGATGTGAGCATCATAACTGCCCATGACCCTTTTGCTCCCAGATCAAGAGGAGGGAGAAAAGACTACAACATTTCTACAACCACCTGTATTTACTTAAATGTATCTTGCTCCTCTCTTCCTCAGTTTCAGTTCTTTTCCTGGTATTTGGACCCAAATCAGGAATTGCTCTACATTAAAAGGGCCTTTTCTGAGACACAGCCACACAGAAAGACTTGGACCATAAACATCCTACGCTGGGAAAAAATCCACCTGCGCATGTAAGCTGCAAGAGCATGTTTGGCCACAGCCCTGTCCCAGATGCAAGAAAGAACTCCCGCAGGGAGCCCAAAAATTGCCCTGGACAGTCACGCGGCAAGGGAAGGCTCTCCTGCTGGATTTGACACAAAGCCCTGAGCAGTTATTGCCCACAACGCTAACACAGCCGCAGAGCTCCACCAGCAGCCTCTGTGCCAGGAGGGTGCGCCCAGCTCCCAGCAGAGCCACCAGAGGCCCAAATCTGACTGTGTGCTGCTGATGGATTCATCCCACGGCCCAAAAGCTCCGGCCCCTTGGCCCAGTCATGCTTTGGACATATCAGATGTTTTCCAGTTTCATCCACACAAGCTCAGGGTCCTACTAACCTCTAGAGAGTATCCCAAAACTCAGCGTGGAGGTGTCACAGCAACCAAGGGAGAGGAGGGGAGAGGTTGGTGGAGGCTGCTCATAGGCTGGTCCCCCTGCAAGGGGATGCTGAGACAGGTCTTGGGTGGTTTAGGGACTCTTGCCCCTCAACCCCCCAGCAGCGTGCTTCCTCAAAATCTGTGCCTTTTTCAGCTCTAGGTCCCTTGGTTCTCTGAGGTCTGCTATGGAGTTGAGATCATGCACAGGCCTGCCCTCATGAGGCACTAAAAGGATCCCTGCTCTACCAGCTGTTGCCTCAGAGCCATGTGTTCCCGCTCTCTCTGCCAAGCGGCCAGATGGGTGCAGTTGAGGAAGGTGGAAAACTAGCATAAAGACAAGATAATATAAATGTCACTATGGCATTTTGATTTGATTTGCTGTTGACTCAAGAGCATGAGCACCTTTCAGGATCTGTGCATGTAAAACTTTTATTTAGGTAAGAACAGAGCCTCAGGCTCATGTCAAGGAGCAGGCTGTGCCTGGCAGCCAGCAGCAAAGCTACCTTACCTACCTGCCTCGACCTTCCACCCTGGTCAGTACAGGAGACGTGGGGGTGCAGCCCTGGCAATCACAGTGAATGAGGCAGCTCTAAGCAAGACCAGCAGCTGGGTCTAGCAAAGCTGCCTCAGGCAGAGCTGCTGATAGAGACCCAGCTGCTGTATACCTGGCTACTCCATACCTGCAGCTCTGGTTTACGTGTTTTAACCTAAATTTTCGTCTGTGTTTTAAGCCACAGCAGTGCCATGAAGGACAAAGAGGACAGCAGACAGGCTCTAGCCCGTTTCCCCCAGCACAATGAGCAAGGCCTGCCTGAATGACCAGGCCCATTCCCAAACCCTGAGCACCCCAGGGGATGCTGGACTGAACAGTTTCTTGCCCTAGGGAGCCTTCACGAGCCTTTGTCCTCCTAGGCACAAGCAAAACCCTCCCCTGCTCCCTCCCACAGGAAGCAACTGCCAGATTTCACGAGCTCTGCTCATCTCAGGAACAGCCCCTTTCCTGCAGCTCACTGCCAGGGGGCCAACCCCTGCTGTCCTTACACCCCTGACACCCCCAGAATACTGTCTCAGCCAAGGATTAACTTCTTTACAGCACGAGCGACCAGGCCTAGGGCTCTCCCAGACACCAGCTGTCTCTGGGGCATGAGATCCTGTTACCCAGCCCTATTTTCTCTCTTCACCTGTTGTGCCTTCTAACCAGGATTAATCTGCAAACCAAATGGGGCAAGGATTGTTCCCCACTGCAGGCTGAGCCCCGTTGCATTCGGCAGGAAGGGAGGAACTGATCAGGTTCCTAGGACCTAACTCCTGCCATAGCCACCCAACAGCTCCATCTGCAGCTGGAAGGAGCTTCTAGACATGGCAGACCCTTCCACGTATGAGCACGGAGCCACTGGAGGTAGCTTTTCTGGGGACAGGTTATGCTTCCCCAGCATGTGAGATCACCCAGGACTGCCAGCAGACCCACCTCCACTCATGCAACCGATGCATAAACTTTTAAATCCTGTAGATTATCCCTCCTAATCCCCCGTAGGCGTGGGGGTGACTTACCTGGCACAGCTTCCGCAGCGCACGCTGGTTCATCAGCTTGTACTTCCAGGCAAGGTACCAGCTCCGCTTCTTGTGGGGCTTGACGGCGGGGTTGAGTTTCCACTCGTCCATAGTCACGGGGGCTGGCAGGGGGGCTGCCGTGTGGGGCGGGGGTCAGGACGCGCTCTGCTCCGCTCTGGGGTCCATCGAGGCTCCCTGCTGGGATGGGACGGGTGCCGGTGAGGGAGGTGAGCGCCCTCAAACCCGCTCCCCCGCCTGGCAC